CCTGCGGACCTAATCCCGGCTCCTGAATGCACCATCCTCCCACCATCCCTGGAATCCTGAGGTCGGCCTTGACTTCTCCCACGTCCTCCACAGTCATCTCGAGGTGCCACATTACTGTCTGTTATTCTCCACCTCACTTCTTTGAATCAAGATTCCGTGAATCATACTGAAAACACATAGCTATTTTATGTACCACTGAGAAAGAAAGGAAGTACTATTTAAAGCATGTCCCCGTGCTTTAATTTCCTAGAAGTTCTATTTTCTACTTACTGAAAAAGCCCTTCTAGAACCATTTAGACACCCATTTTTATGACATAGCATGCTTGTACATAAAGAAAAATGAGAAAATAACAGAAATAAATCACCTGAATACCCTCCAAGATTTTACATCCAGAGCCTGACTCTTCTGAGCCACTTTTTGACTCTGAGTCAAAGGCATCGGTGCTTCGCACGCAGCGTGGGAAGGATGCCCCGCCCTCATCTCTGAATTGCCCCCAAGCCGCTGGCACCTGAACTGCACATCCTGGTGCTGGGGCTTTCTGCCCTGCAGAGTGGGAGGCAATCCTTTTGCACCACTCTCAGGAACACAACGCACATGAGTGTGGCTGGTTGCTTGCTGGCCACACAGCCCTCCCCTCTCAGGCTGCACACAGGTTTGCAAAGTGAACGGGCTCCTCTCTGCTCCTCTGTTGAGGGAGAACCTATTTCTCCACCTCCTGAAATCTAGGCTAGTTTGTGACATCCTGCTGGAAGATGAGAGGCCACATGGAAGAGAACCAAAATGCTCAACAACCAGCACTAGCTGCCAGATGTGTTGGTTTGAGGCCAGCTTGGACACCCCAATCTAGTGAAACGTCCACTGAATCCAGCCTCATAAGCAACCAAGGTGAAACCCGCCCAAGACTTGTGCAGCCAACCCACAGGACTAAGAGAAATCATAAACCCTTGTTGCCTGAAGTCCCTGGGTTTGGGGGTGGCTTGTTATACCACGTAGTTCACTGACACTGGCAGCTGCAACTTTTTGTGTCAACCTCCCTGTCTCAGGTCCTACACAATAGCTGGTTGTCACTCTGCAAGAATAGATGGAATTGAAGAAGAATATACTCAATCAATAGCAAATCTGCAACTTGATGTTCTACATTTAGGCCTTTAGGCGTATATAATAACTTTTTGTTTCAAATCTCATAGAAAAATCATTTTGAGGATATTTTACACCCAGCATGTACAGAATCAACCCTGTACACAACTGAAGACACAAATGAGCAGCTACAGCCAAGTTTCTCCATGAGCAACCAGCACCTGCAACATGGCTGCCCACAGGAGTCCTGAGACACTGTCGACGTCAGATGTACCTGTTCCAGGGATGTTGGGATGTGGGAACACGCCCTCCATAGAATCAATGATACACAGCATCTCTCAAGTCCCACTGCTCTGCTCTACCTGTCACCTCACTGGGAATGTCACAGTTGCTCAGGACCAGCCCCTCCCTATCTTGCTCCCTTTCCAGTCCATACAATTTATTCCATCAGTAGTATTAAGTATCAAGTGGATATGGTCCATTTTACTCCCTTGCTGAAATGTGGATCCCTGCAAATAAAAATGTCTTCCTGGGGAGCCCAGCTCCCCTGACCCCCTACCTGCCCACTCTCACAATGCTTTTCCCCATGGGTATCAAGTGTTTCTTCCTGACTCCATTGGGCAGTGTTGATGGGGAGACATAGGCAGATGTGGAAGTTAAACAGCTTACAGGAGAAGCATCAATGATCTATTGCAACTGTGGAGGTGGGGAGGTTGGTGCTGGTGGAATCTGGGGTGATTTAATTACCAAGATTTAATTTACTGAGCAGGAGGGCTGGATGAGGTCTGCTAGGGTTACTCTCATGCTTACTGACACTCTGCCTTCTCCAATCGTGGAAACTTACACTCCACTCATCTATGTGTCTCTAGTGCTAGCGGGGTGTGCTTAGCAGGCTGCCAACACCTCACCACGGCCTCATGGATGACCAGATGAATCAACAAGTACCCCTTTCAGGCCTGATATCCTGTGGGTCACAAGTTCCAGGTCATGTTTGCGATATGTTCATTGAAGAGTCAAGAAAGACTTTCTGCTTTGTACTCTAGATACTTGTTTTTAAGCTTGCAAATTTAAAAGAAAATCCAGCATCCAATTTTAAAGAAAGCTGATACTTGGATTGGCTGATGTCATTACAATGTGCACACCACCAAGGGTCCCAACAGCCCCCCTATTCCACAAGGCAGTATCTTAATGAAAGAGCACTCCTGTATTTTTTTTAATTTTGTACCTTCTTTTCCAAAAAGATGTTGTGGCAATTCGCACAGAAAATAGATAAAAGAGGTTTAACAAATTAGAAATGGAAAACCTGGGGCAAGCAAGTAAAGAAACAAACACATTTATCATAAATGGCTAAGTTGCTGTGAATCATCATAAATTCTAGCCTCAGAGAAGTCCTGTGTGTGGAATTCTTTTCATTCTTAGAAACACACCCACTCTTCAAAATGAGGCCAAAAAATTTAATGCTGAGTTTTAAGATAACACATCTTTACAGGTGTAGACCTTTATATAAGGGCCAACGAATAGAGTAAGGCATATCATTTTTGTAATCTCAATGATCATCCTTCATTCATCCATCCAACAAACAGCTAATATTAAAATGTGTTTCTTAGAGAAAGAAAATCCAAAATAAATAAGGCTATCATTCAACTCAAGAAGCTACAAAAAATAACAAGAGTCAATTCAGAAGAAAAGCCTTGGCAATAAAAGCCAGAGAAGGACAACATGAGAAAGAAGTCAGACAGGCTAAGCTCACTCATGAGCAGACATGCAGAAATCTCCAATAAAATCTGGCAAAACATATTCAGAAAAACATTTTTTAAAACATCAGGCTTAATCAGTGAATGAAGTTGGATAAGGACCGTGGTCGTGAACTCGGCATGAACACTCGGGTCAGCAGTGTCGTTATTTCCAGCTACACCACACTGCATTAGTGCAAGTGCAGAGGAAGTGCAGGCTGGGCTCACCCAGGGCTGGACACTTGCCAGGTGCACACCGTGGCTGACGGGTGAGAAAGTCAAACCTATCTGCAGAAGAGTGATTAAAAATGGCAATCATGAAATCTGAGCTGCAACAGCAGAAAAGCAAAGCCCAGGGCTACCTGTTAGTTTCTGGGAAAGAACAGATAAGGACAATATGGACCCTCAAAGCCAGCGTGTCACAGTAGGGAGGGGACTTCAGCCAATGAGCCAGGCAGACAGGCACTGGAAAGAGTACACGTTCAACAGCTTTGTGGAATAAATATTAATGTCAAAAGAACCACTAAAAGTCAGTTTTCGTAGGATGATCAGGGATAGAGGAGGATCACATAAACAGTTACAAGGACTGGTAAAGCCCCTCTAGGACCCAGCTTCTGCAAACCTTCCTAGTCCTGGATCCTGATACCTCCTTGTCATCCTTCCTCATGTTTTATGCTGCAACTTCAAACTGTGTGATCAGCACACACACATACACACACATATGCATCCATACACATAGGTACACAGGCATCCACAAACACAAATAAATGTATCTACACACACACGTGCATCCATATACACAGATGTAACCATATGAATACCCATGTATGCATCCATACAAACATATGCCTCTGTACATGTGCATATGCATCCATACACACACGTGCATGTGAATACATACACACATATGTATTCATATGCACATGTGCACGCATATGCATCATACACATGCATCCATGCATACACATATGTACTCATGCACATATGCACACATATGCATCCACACACCTCCAAACATTTATACAACACATATGCATCCATACACACATCCATACAACATATGCATGCAACATATCCATACAACATATATGCATCCATACACACATCCACACACATATGCATCCATATGTACACACGCATGTAGTCATATGCACACATGCATCCATACACACACATGCATCTATACATACACATATGTACTCATGCACACATGCACACATACGCATCCATACACATACACCTCTAAACATACATATTTATATACCAACACATATGCATCCATTAACACAGGCATACACACATATGCATCCATATGTATACACACATGTCATGTGCACACACATATACGTCCCTACACATACATATGCACATCCATGTGCATTCATACACACATGTACTCCAATGCACACATGCACATATGCCTCCAAACACACACATGCATTCATACATACACATGCATGCCTCCATAAACACTTATGTATTTAAATATACATATGTGCATCCACACATACACATGCACCTATAACACATGCATATACACATATGCATCTATACATGCACGTGCACCTATACACACATGTATTCATATGCACACACATGCATCCACACATACACATGCATCCATGTACACATACATATGCATCCATTCACACATATGTATTCATATGCACTCACACACACATATGCATCCATACACACACATGCCTCCACACACATGTATTTATACACATACATGCACCCGTACATACATGCACATATGTATTCACACACATGCGCATGCAGTGAGCTGCTTCTCCCACTGCTGCCTTACTGTCACATCTGCCTGGAATGTCCTCCTCCCACCCCCATGCCAGAGCCCACTGCCACTCATGCCAAGCTTGAATCAGTTACTCTCCTCCCTGTCCCATAAAAGTTCAAATATACTTTTGTCTTCACACCTGCTGGGTTGCATTATAAAATACCTGTGTGTGCCTCTCAGCTCTGGACTCTGTGTTCCAAACATAAACTTCCTCTCCTATTCACACCATTCTCAGAAGTGCACCTGATTTTTCTTTATAAGCCTGGCACTGATGCTGGCCCAGAAAGCTCTGTTTACAGCTCGGGCCCTCACCCTGCACTGTGCCCTTCTTAATGCCAGAAGACGCCAGAATCAGAAACAAGTTACTTACTTGTTTTAAAAAGTTACTTACTTTTTTCTTTCTCTGTGAGTTTTTTTCAACATTCGCATATCTTCTGCAAGACAAAAGATGTTGAACTTGAAATGTAAAGCCCGGCCCTAAGTTGTCTCTATAAAATGCAGTCTGCAGCCTCGTCCTTAGGAGGGAAGTAACCACGAGGAGGAGCAAGCTGTCCACAGAGGACACGGCTCATGGCAACAGTGATTTCCCAGCCTCAGGAGCAGAAAATGCCCCAGGAATCTGTTCAATTTCCTTCCTGGAGATTAGATGGCCCATTCTCCTTCTACCACAGCAAAGAGTCCCTGTCCACCGGCTGCCTTTGCAAGGGCACGCATCCCATTTCTAATTCCTCTTTAGTGAGGCTTTCTCCAATAGCTGCTACTCAAATTTGGAAATGCTCGTACCCCAGGATTCTCTGCAAATTCAGAGCATCTTCTTGGTCTATTCTGTGTAAGTCACACGAACTTCAGTCTCTGAGCGACTGCATGTGGCCTCCTGTTGACCCTTAAGCTCAACAACTTTGGCGAGGGGGAAAGATATTTAAGCCAGTCAGACTCAGTCAGGGGTTCCCAATGAACAGACAGTGGCAAAAAGCAAAACACTTTAAGAGACGGGAAACACGTGGGGGGCAGGTAGAAAGAACGACTCAGCTCCACAGCCCCATGGTGTTCCTCCTCACCGTGCTATCAGGACTGTTAGCACGAATTAAGTCAATAAAATCAAGAAACATCCACGTGTGCCAGGCATGCAGGTGGGACTCTAATCTAACCATCTGCCTGGATATCAAACTGCTGTGGGGTCACCCCTGGTAGACAGGACAAAAGGAACCTTCCTC